CACGCTTAACTGGCCAAACAGCCATACTGTTCAAGCCAACTAGCCACGCTTAACTGGCCAAACAGCCATACTGTTCAAGCCAACTAGCCACGCTTAACTGGCCAAACAGCCATACTGTTCAAGCCAACTAGCCACGCTTAACTGGCCAAACAGCCATACTGTTCAAGCCAACTAGCCACGCTTAACTGGCCAAACAGCCATACTGTTCAAGCCAACTAGCCACGCTTAACTGGCCAAACAGCCATACTGTTCAAGCCAACTAGCCACGCTTAACTGGCCAAACAGCCATACTGTTCAAGCCAACTAGCCACGCTTAACTGGCCAAACAGCCATACTGTTCAAGCCAACTAGCCACACTTAACCGGCCAAACAGCCACACTGTCAAACCAACTAGCCACACTCAACCGGCCAAACAGCCATACTGTTCAAGCCAACTAGCCACGCTTAACTGGCCAAACAGCCATACTGTTCAAGCCAACTAGCCACGCTTAACTGGCCAAACAGCCATACTGTTCAAGCCAACTAGCCACCCTTAACCCACGCTTAACTGGCCAAACAGCCATACTGTTCAAGCCAACTAGCCACACTTAACCGGCCAAACAGCCACACTGTCAAACCAACTAGCCACACTCAACAGGCCAAACAGCCGCTAGTCTGTTGGACACCATGGCTTTATAGCCTTAGCTGAGTGCCAGCTGGCTTTTAGCTTAAGTGTTAGATGCTCATGCACTGAGCTCCAGAAGTCACAGGTTCGGTTTTGCCTGTTCCGTGTTACACTAGCACTTCCTGTAGGGCAGCCTTGTGTGTCCCCATCCTGTTTAACTATGTCCCTGAGTACCAGTGGAGGAGGCGGTTAAGGGCTCCCTCCAGTGCAGAGGGAGAGGAATGTGTTGTGCGTTTCCATGAGGCAGTCCTCTTTGCTGAGACAAAGTTGGGTGGTTAGCGGAAATACGCTGTGGCTGTGTCTAGACTGGCCAGTTTTTCCGGAAAATCAGCCGCTTTTACGGAAAAACTTGCCAGCTGTCTACACTGGCCACTTGAATTTCCGCAAAAGCACTGACTTCTTACTGTAAGAAATCAACTATGCTGCTCCTGTTTGGGCAAAAGTCCCTTTTGCGCAAAACTTTTGCGCAAAAGGGCCGGTGTAGACAGCTCAGATTTGCTTTCCACAAAAAAGCCCCGATCGTGAAAATGGCGATCGGGGCTTTTTTGCGGAAAAGCGCATCTAGTTTGGCCATGGACTCTTTTCTACAAAAAGTGCTTTTGCGGAAAAGCGTCTGTGCCAATCTAGACGCTCTGTTCCGAAAATGCTTTTAACGGAAAACTTTTCCGTTAAAAGCATTTCCGGAAAATCATGCCAGTCTAGACGTAGCCTGTGTGCATGGCAGATTCAGAGGAGTCAGATCTCTTGACCTCTCCTTGCTTTTCGGGGCTTGCTCTCTGGGGCAGCTTACACTTGCTCAGCCTCAGTCCCTTTTGAGGGGCATTTTGTGTGTGGAATTGTTAACAAATCCCCCAGCTCCACTTCTGTTTCTGTCCTTGCAAAACAGACTCCAGAATGGGACCTGGAGCCAATGCACCCGCTGCCTTTGCAATCCCGCTCTGACCCCAGACAGACTTGTGAGAGAGAAATCCAGCTACAAATGAGAGAGATTTCAACATGGCCTGGAATAGCCACAATTCCAGTTATGGACAGGATGATGGATTCTCATTCCATGCGGTGGCTGACTCTGGAGAGGAGAGTGGGAACAGTGGAGAAGAAATTAGTGGATTGTGAGAAAACAGTGGTGCAATTTGAAAGCCAGCTGGAGAGCAAGTGGGCCATGCTGGAGACGCTGATCCAGGAACATGAGCTGCTGCAGCGACGGCTGGAGAACATGGAGAACCTGCTGAAGAACAGGAACTTCTGGATCCTGAGGCTTCCGCCAGGCACTAAGGGGGAAATCCCGAAGGTACTAATATCCCAGCTGGTGCCAGGGGCAGAACTAAATGATGTGCAGAGATTTGCAAGAGTTAGGTTCCTACCTTCCTATTTGGGCAATGAATAAGTAGCCTGATTTTCCAAAGTGGTGTGCACCCAGCTGCTCCCATTGGGCATAGCAGTCTGTGCTCAAAACTCTGGAAAATCAGGGTGTTTATTCATTGGCCTTTTTGACCTGAGCAGGTAGTCAAAGCCCAGGCCCTGCAGCAGTTCCCCTTGAAAGGTGGGGATTGTTGATGGTGTCTGTCAGTCTGGGCTTTTTTTTTTTGTTTGCAGCCTTGTTTATTTTCAAGGAAGGTCTGTGGTTTACAACCTTGTTTATTTTCAAGGAAGGTCTGTGAAGGCAGGAGGCAGAAGGGCAGTTTCTTAGCTAACAGCCTCCAACCAGCACCAGACCCAAAAATACTGTCTAGCTTTTCCCAGGGTCTGACACCAAAATGCCCCAGGCTGCTGCTTAGCTTTGTCTTCCTCAGTCCTCTCCATCCAAGGTGAATTGATTTAAATCAAGGCCATTTAAATTATTGATTTAAATTACCAAAAAAAACCAAACATTGATTTAAATCAGTTACCAAGAAAACTATGGCTGACTGTGCTCCGGCGCACTTAATTGTAGAGTAAACCCCACTGAACTCACTGATACTTCTGATTTTTAAGAAAACAGCATAGAATGGGGTTCCTTTGGAAAAGCTGAGTTCTGCTGAAGTAAAACAAGGAAATGGACTTATGGCATCGCCATTATGGTCTGTGGTCATGGTGTGCCAAAAAAGAGGTATGAATTATGTCATATAAAATAAGAAAATGACACTTGGTGGCAACTGGCAGGTGTAGCTTTCTCTTACTGCAGCTTTGGGTGATCAATTCTAAACCTAGTTAACTAACTAAACAAGGCTAAGGATTAGCTAAGCTAAACCTTTTCTGCTAGCAGCATCCCACACAGCAAACAACTTGGGGATTTACTTGTCAAATCACACTAAAAGACAGGGAGTCTTGAAGAGTGATGCACTGCAAAATGAATTATTTAAGCTATTAACCAGGTGATTCACTCTGCCATGTCCACATCTTCATCTACATCATTTTCTCCCTTTATCCCTTTCATTCTTGCAACTAGTCCCTGCTTCCACTTGATGTGTTTTCCTTTTTTTAAACCCATGGGAATGAATTTCTTCAAAATATTCCTAGATAGGGTCTGTCTTACTGGTAGAAGCCAGGACAGTTTTTCTGTGGCAAAAGTGTGGGGCAGTATAGGAAGTTGTGCGCCATATCAGAGCACTGTGTTCAGATGTCTGTGGAGTCACAAGGATGTGTGCCATATCAGAGCACAGTGTTCAGATGTCTGTGGAGTCACAAGGACGGCCTAAGGGGCAGAGCACTGAGCTGGGACTCCAGAGACCTGGGCTCAGTCCCTGGCTGCTTCTGTGTCCTGGGGCAAGTCACTTAGCCTGCGTGCCTCAGTTCCCCATCTGTACAATGGGTATAACAGCACCGCTTTTCCTCTCTGGGCTATTGTGAGGATACATGCATCAAACTGGGGGGCATACAGGTGATAGTAGGCACAATAGATGTACTTTCATTAAGTCTGAGAGTTGGTCAGTATTTGCACCTTCTGAGAACAAATTCTATAGGGAAAATCTGAACAGAGCTGCTCCATAGGGACCTCCTGGCTCAGTGAATCACTGAGTACAGCATTGGAAGCTGACTGCATTATTTATGCAATTCCGCTAGATAGTAATTTAACCATAAATTCCCTTATTAAATCCAAAGGCCAAGTGGTATCTATGCAGTTGCTCCACACATGCCTAAAATGCTAAGCAATGAACAGTTCCTATGTGGATACAGTAATGTGTACTCGGCGGCATTTCACCAGAGTGGTCACAACCTAGCCTAAGGGTGCTCAAACCCATGCTGGCTGGTTCCATCTGGGCAGGCACTGTTGAGCTCAGCTCACCCTTTATACTCTAACAAACAGGCAATGTCTTAACCAGTTACTAACTTTAGCTAAGAACCAGTTTGGGGCATCTTTCTGGACATGGGCTAGAACAAGATTTGGCAGCGGGTCGTCTGTCTTTCTCATTGTCTTCAATTTATGAATCTTAACGCTCCCCCCTGCACTGGCCCTTTCTCTGCTTCCGCATGCCCCTGTTGTGAGAGATACAGGTGTGTTGAAGGTTAGTGTACATTTATGACAGGACAAAACAACTTCTCTGTCTGTGTGAGAACACATGTAACCATTGCTCATCATCCTCTTTTCTAAAAATCTCTTCTTCATCTTATTAGCTGCCTTCCACAGTCAGCATCCTCCCCAAAATCAGACTTGCCTACATACCATCCTCCCTCTCACTTCTGGATAACCGTAGTCAGAGAGTTGTTGTTAACGGTTCTAAATCCTGCTGGAAAGGGATAACAAGTGGAGTTCCTCAAGGGTCTGTTTTGGGACCCGTACTGTTCAATATCTTCATCAATGATGTAGATATTGGGATAGAGAGTACGCTTATTAAGTTTGCAGATGATACCAAACTGGGTGGGATTGCAACTTCTTTGGAGGATAGGGACATAATTCAAAACGACCTTAGCAAGTTAGAGAAATGGTCAGAGGTAAACAGGATGAAGATTAATAAAGAGAAATACAAAGTGCTCCACTTAGGAAGGACCAATCAGTTGGAATAAATTGCTAAGGGAGGTGGTGGAATCTCCCTCTCTGGAGATATTTAAGAACAGGTTAGATAGACATCTGTCAGGGATGGTGTAGATGGAGCTTGGTCCTGCCTTGAGGGCGGGGGGCTGGACTCGATGACCTCTCGAGGTCCCTTCCAGTCCTATTATTCTATGATTCTATGATTCTGACCCTGTTATTTCCAAAGCCTGTTCATAGCCACTAAAACCCCTTTCTTTGCTTAAATTACAAAGCACATTTTCTGTGGCCAGGCTAATCTAACCCTTTCCAGATCTACCTCATCCTACAACCAGATTGTTCCTGCCCACTGCCACACGCACAACAGCCTCTGCAAGACCATATTCCCAATCCCTGAAACCTGCCAAGAGCCTTACATGGCTCGGGTGTGAAAGCTGCAGACATGGGGACCCCCTTAACAGCGTGGCTCCATTTGAGCTCTGGGTCATTGGAGGGCAGAAGCTGCATGAATGAGAAGAGAAAACAGTCCCTGTCTTACTCCTACACCTGACCAAATTCAGATTTTCCTTTCCTTCTCTGCCAGGGTGGGAGTGGGGGCAGTACAGCCTAGCGCAGCTCTCTGTCCTGTTCTCATGTGCCAGCCATTTCTAGTAATGTGCCCGGTAATAGCCAGGCACTGCTGATCCTCCCCATCTCTCCCAATTCGTGTGACAGGTGGGATTGGCTCAGGAGGCTCTGAGTGTGCAACACTTGTGATTCCAGGTGCCAGTGACGTTCGATGATGTCTCCGTCTACTTCAACGAGCAGGAGTGGGGGTGCTTGGAGGAGTGGCAGAAGGAGCTGTACAAGAACGTGATGAAGGGGAATTATGAGGCCCTGATCTCCCTGGGTAATGCTTTTTTCTTCGCTCCCCTCTCAGAAGTTGCCAGGCCTCTGAAGACAGAGTTGGCTCTGGCTCATGTTTATTCCCCAGTCTCTTTGTGTGTGGCGGCTCAGTAGGGTAAACCCTTGCAGGATGGGTTTTTGCTCGATGGTGTGTCTTAAAAAGCAATTGAAACGTGTTGTTCCGAATTCCACCTCCGGAGCTTTCGACGTGTGGGTGTATTGAGCTGTGCTGCTCCTGCACATGCACAGAGACTCTGGCTCTGTTGCGATACTGGATGATCTCTTGGCTGGAGACTGAAGCTGTCTCTGAGCTATTGGAAACTCCCGGTCCCAAGTGAACATAGAGACATGGTGTAGCTGGCAGCTCTGCACGTCTCGCCGGTTGAGCTGTGTGCTTGGCCCCGACTCACTCCTCAGCCCTAGGGACTCTTCTAACTGAGGAGGTGGTTTCTGTGGTGGGGAGACGCTGAGTTGCACTGCACAGGTACTTCCAGCCAGCCGCCCCAGGGGAATTGTGTTCCCCACTGTCCGAGCTGGATTCAAATCAGGCGCTTGGGAGAGAGATTCCATGGCCTGTCACTGATTGTATGGGCCGTCCAGTGCCACCTCTTAGATACTGGACCGGATTCACCACTGGTGTGTGGGTACCTGTGACAGAGTGGATTAGGTCCAGAGGCCCCATACAGGAAGCTTTGCAGCTGTGCCTCAGCCCGCCCCAGAAAAGAGAAGATGGGATATTCCCCAGGTGGCCTAGAGTAGGTACTAGGGAAGCAGCCAATCAGAAGGGCTGCAGGAGTGGCCAATCAGGAGCCAGAAGGCCATATAAAAGGGAGCAGCAGAGGAAGAGCAGTGAGTGCTGTCTGGAGCTGGAAGAGGAAGTGCTGGGTGCCTGGCTGGCTGGAAGAGTAACAGGACCATGGACAGCTCAGGGACAGACGTCTGTTTGCAGTGCCTGGGGACCAGAGGTGCTTCTGGCTGGCTGCAGGGGCTGGAATGGCTAAGGCAGGTAGGTGCTGGCGGGGGTGGGGAAAGCCAGGGAATAGCCACTAGTGGCCCAGAGAAATGCCCGTATTAGAGGAATGTGGCACGTGGCTGAAGGTCCCTAGGCAGCCCTTGGTCTCCCTCCCTGCGACCACCCAACATCCACTAGAGAACTGGCTGTGCCCTGAGAGAAGGGAGTGTAGAGGTCCAGGGGGGGGTTTGCAAGACAAGGGTGCCCCCAGTACAGTGCCCCTCCCCTTTGCCTCACTGGGTTTGGAGTTGCCAGCTGCATCGAGACCAATGCACAGAGTCACAGATCCACGGGATCTGGGCCATGCCCCAGCCTTTAATTGGCCCCTTGGAAGGACCCCAGCCGTTCGCCAGGCCCTTCCCCAGTGGTGGAGTCACACGGCATCAGACTGAGTCTCCAGCTCTCCTGTGCCTCCCTGGCAGCCCTGCCCAGCAGATCCAGCTGAGAGAGACCCCTGCTCAGAGTCCGTTAACCCCCCAGGAGCAGGTCACAGGCAAGCGCCAGCAGGACCCCAGGTGCCACAGTTGGGTTTGTTAGGCCGCAGGATCCAGCCTGGGCTAGCACAGAGACACGGGTTACGAGAGTTCAGATCGGCCAGCGCTGGCTGCTGGACCAAGGCCCCTCGCTGCTCTTGCCCAGGTGAGAGCCCGGTCCGAGAGCCCATGGCTCTTCCATCTGCTCCGCGACGCCGGGCGGAGTTCCCATGCTGAGCTGCTGGAGCGTCCCGCTGGTCCGTGCTTTGCTTCCCACGATCGTTCGGGGTCCTACAGAGACATGATGGGTTCCATGCAGTTCTGCAGCCTCTGCAGTCAGCTCCGGCAGCGGAGAGTGGCCAGGCTTGAGTTCCCTGGTGCGGTTCTGCAGGGCAGACAGCACCCAGAGGGACACTTCCACCCCTCTGGGGGTGGCTCCATGCTCAGCTTTTCGGGGCCGAACAAGTAGGCAAGCGGATTGATACTCTCTGTGCCTGGGGCAGCCACTTCCCCCTGCGTCAGCCTTGGATCAGGCCTGCGCCGGTGCAAGTTGTCCCTGTAACAGTGCGGCCTCTCTTCCCCTTGCCGTTGGGGGCTGGGTGTGTAAAACCATTGCTCGGGAATCTCCTGTTGGAATGAGACACCGGGGCGTCTCTCTCCATCCACAGACTACGCCCTTGCCAAACCCGACTTGCTGTCCCGGATGGAGCGAGGGGAGGAGCCGTGTGTCGGGGATCGGGGGCGGTCGGAGGCGAGCGAGAGCCCTGCAGACCCTGGCCCAGGTACGTAGAAATGAGTCCGAAATGAGCCCCGAGGTCCTGGCTGCAGCTGCAGTTCCAGTTCCCTGCAGATGGGACCTGGAGAATGTGGCACAAGGGAGAAATGAAATGGATCCATGAAACCCTCCCCAGCTCTGTCCCAGTGAGCGGGGCAGACACCCGTGAATGCGCGGGCTCGGGAAGAGTTACTGTCCAGTCTCATTTAAGCCAATACCGCGGAGGGTGGGGCAGCCAGCCCCTCCCACCCTCACAGTCGCCATGGCTGCATGTCCAGCTCGAAAGGCCACGTCCCCTTAATCCCCTTGGCTGGGATTTGCAAAGCAGGCTAGTGACTTTGGGCCCCAGCTCCCCCACGGTCCATGGGAACTGGGAGCCCAACTCCCCTAGGCCCCTCTGAAATCGGAGCCCTTCTCCTTCCTGTGAACAGAACCCCCCGTTTCTGCACCGGGCCTTGCATCGTGGATTAACCAGGAGGAGGCGGATCCGGGCTGCGGGGGCCCGGGGGAGAGTGAAATCCACGCGCGCCCCTGCTCCGGTGAGTAATGAATTTTGCAGACAGTCGCTCTCGTTTGCATTGCTGCACCTGCCTTCCAGTGGTGACCCCCCCCGGCTCCTCTGTGCCCACGTGGGGCTGGCCAGGGCTGTGGGGCGTGGGTGAGGAGCAGCCCTGTGCTCTGGAGCTGGGCTCGGGGCCTGCCCTGTTACCTCGCTCCCTTGGCTCCGGCGTGGGAGCCTGGCGATTAGCGCTCACTCTGTTCATTTAGCCCAGCAGGGCGGGCCGTCCCTTCGTGTTCTAGCTGCTCGGCAAATCCCCTCCCTTGGGGCCTCGGGACCTGCTCTGTGGGTGAGGAGGGGTCCCATAGGCGACTAGCAGGGAGGGACACAAAGGGCGCACCAGCCAAAGGGGGTCATGTGAGCTCCCCATCTCCATAGGACTCCACTCCGTGCATCCTAGCCCTGGTGTGGCCGGAAGCAGGGTGAGCGCGGCAGCCGGGCAGCATGGCCAGAAGAGAGACTGGCCCTGCCGGCTGCTGGTCCCTTGCCCCGCCATCCCATTGTGCTTGGGGGGGCACATGACTTCCTGTCCCCAGCCACCCCCACGTGTCGCTCCTGAGGGGTCCTGCGTGCAGGGGGTCGGGGCGGAGATGGGTTTCCGGCTCATTACAGGGTCTGGCTGAGAGCAGGGATACCCCGGGGTAACCCTCTTTGCCCTGAACAGAGTTTCAGACGGTCCCGCCCGATCCCGTATCCTGGAGCAGACGAGAGGGAGAGCCCTGTGGGCGGGATCGGCCCGTCTCTGGGGGAAGCAGAACCCCGGCAGGCCCCAGCCCTGGTGAGTGGCAGCCGAGACCACAGGGTGAGGGGGCGAACGGGGAATCCAGCTTCTGTTCATCTGCTCTTGTGTATCTCAGGCTGCAAGCCAGCTGGTCCCGCCCCCTGTCCCTGCCCCCCAGTCCCATCCTGGAGCCTCTCCTCACTCTCTTCGGATAATCTCACCGCTGCCCTTAGCCCCTCGTTTGCTGCCTCCCCCATCCCTGCGGACACCGTTGTGTCCATTCCAAAGCCAGGGCTGCCTGTAGCCCCTACCCCGGGGGCTCAGCGGGAGTAGAAGCCGAACGGGCGCGGGACCCCCCCCCCCCGGGGTGGCAGGGACCCCTGGGGCCCGGCGTGCAGTCCCTGCTCTCGGCGGCAACCCCGGCACAGAGCCGTTCACAAACTTCTCCTGCTCCCGTTTGAAACCGGTCCGGCTTCTTGCCTCCTGTTGGGGCCCATCCCAGGCCATCTGCCCCCTGAGGGGTGGAGCCTCCTGCTAATTCTCAGCCTCTCTCCTGTGACCAGAGACTCCTGCGCCTGACCTCTCCCCCTGGATTACACCGGAGCAGCAGCCGTGTGCGGGGCCTTGGCCGGCTTTGCAGGACAGGGAGCTCCCTAGAGAGCCCAGCCCAGGTGGGTATTGGAGACAACCAGGGAGGGACTAAAGGAGCTGGTCAGATGCAGCTGCCAGCACCTTGCTCCTGCCAAAAGGCCTTCCCTCCCCCTCCGGCACAGCCCCTCTGCTGCAGGGAGCCAGGCGTGCCCCAGCCCTGTCCACTGCAGCACTACCCCCCGGGGAATTCCCAGCAGGCTCCACAAGGCTGCTGCACGCACCCAGCGTAGCTCAGCGCCACCGAACCACTGGAGATACCCAGCCCCTTGGACAGTGCGCGGGGAAGCTTCCCACCTGCCTCCCGTGGGATCTGTCGATTCCGAAGCGAGGCTGAGCCCACGCAGGCAAACCTGCCCCGGGGTGAGTTCCGGCTCGCTCCCATGGCCAGCGTCCTGGGCCTTGGCTCCCGCGCAGGAGCCTGCGTGGTGGATGTCCTCCTCCCCGCAGGGGGCGTGAGCAACGGCGGCTTTGCCCTGCCCCGGCAGGGGACGAGATCACTCTGCACCTCGTGGGGAGACGTGTGCTGAGGGGAGTGAGCGCCCTGGGTGATGTCCAGGTGTGTTTGGAAGGTGCCAGGTCGCGCCAGCTGGCCTGGGGCAGCGCTCAGCTTGGTCATCTGGCTCCCGTGCCCCTTGGCCCAGACAGCCTTGTGCTGGGAGCTCAGCCAAGGTGCCCAGCGCTCCAGCTGTCCCCACTCTGCCCTGAGAGCAGCGAGCAGCTGCCCCCCAGCAGGGTGTCTGCGGCAGGGAGATGCCTGGACAGTGCCCATCTCCGTCCCCAGAGCAGGCCCCACATGTAGTGACAATGCCAGCGTCTGGGGTGGATGGGCCGCTCCTAACCACAGAGACTCCAGTGGGGTCTGGCCGCTTGCTCCTGCCTGCAGGGAACCAAGCAGCCTGACCGGGCTCCAGCAGCGGCTGCTGGGAATGACGCTTGGCCGGTACTGACCTGGGGCCAGGTCACGGGTGTGAAGCTCCATCCTTGGGACCAGGCCTCCCCGCCCCCAGCCACCTGGCTGCTCCGCTGTCATTGGGGCACAAGGTCACACCCAGTGCGGAGCATCGGCACGCAGGCGAAGTTCTCCATTGCCCTGCACAGTCCCTTACCCCGTGCAAGGTGGGGCAGCTCCCTCCCGGCTCAGCCGGCGCCCTCGGGGCCAGGAGCCGTGCCTGCAGAGCAAGCAAGGCAGCGGGGACGCAGAGCTGAGCTGCCCTCCTGAGGGCAGGCTGTGTGTTCTGCAGTGGCGGGAGAGTGGCACATGTGGGCGCAGCAGCTGGGCTGGGTGGGAGAGAAGGGGAAGGACCTGGACCTGGGTTGGGTGGTTGAGGAGTTTGCTGGCCTGGCCCCGCCTGGGGACAGGTTCCAGCAGGCAGCACCCAGAGCTGATGACGAGCGGCCTACTCAGTTGTGATCCGCGTGCTGCTACCCCTGTCAGTGCCCTGTGGGCCCTTGGTCCAACAGGCATCACTGGCCACTGCCAGTCTTCAGCCTACGCTTTGCACCGAGGCGAGCGCTGCTGGGGCCAGCAGGAACACACATGCAGGCAGGGCCCTGGGTGTTAATTTGCTAGCGGGACAAGCCCTGCTGTGCGCGTTTGAGCCCGGCATTGTTCAGGGCAGCCTGCAACTTCGGACTCATGCCCAGGGGCTGTCCCAGAGGGGGGCTGCCCTGCCCCAGGGTTGGGGGAGTGCAGGCCCCCAGGGACTGAGGTACTAGTTGCTGCCCTGCGGGGGGGGAGGGGGCAGCTTTCACTTAAGCTCCCTGGCCAGATGCCCAAAACAGGGTGCCTCAGGCGCTCCCCTTGCCTGTAGCAGGAGCAGTGGGGTACTGTACGTGGGGCAGTTCCCCCTAGAGCCTCCGTGTGTGAGCAGCTGTCACCTGTCACCTCCAGTAACCAACAGGTGGGTATAAAACCATGTCATTTGCTCGGTAGCAGCTACTCGGTTAACAGGGCCTCCTGTCCCCACCCTCCTTGGCCCAGGCAGGGCCATTTCCAGTCCTGCTCTGCTGGCCCAGATGGAGCAAGGGGGGGCCAGATGTGATGCACGTGCAGGCAGAGGTGAGCTGGGGTGGGGGGTTGCAGCCGGTGTCACAAAGGACTTCGCACAGGGCCTGGACCACACAAGTTAGGGAGCTGGAGAGCTGGCTAGAAGAATTCTGACAGTGTAGCCTCTCGGAGAGATGACAGCTACAGCGGTGGGGAGCTAGCTAGGCCATGGGATAGCAGTGATGGCTTTTCAGGGAAGTTTGTACAAAACAAACTAGAAACCCCGGAGCTTGAGTTAGTTACCCCTCCCCTCCACTCCCCAGGGCTTGGCTTTCCTCTATGGAAACTCACAGTTAAGGTGGGCAAACAACCTTAACTGTGCCCCTCAGCAGCACCCGAAAAGAACCTCAGGAAGGTGGTGTGCCGGATCCATCCTGAACATGCGTTTGCATCTGTGCCGAGACGAGGCTCCATGATTCTTCATCGTCTCTGCATTGCAGCCTGTCTTGCTCGGTGCCCCATGACACCTGGATGCCTGGCTGGAGTGGGGCAGCATGAAGGGGTCTGTTCAGGGTGGGGATGACAGGCTGCCTTCGCCATGTTTGATGCCCCTGGAGTTCTAGGCTTCAACAAGAATCAGACACTGCAAACGGCCCTGCCTTCGTCTGGCAGGCTTGGCTCCTCCTCCACCTCCAGCCTTGCCAAACCGAGCTAGGTCGCATCTCATGAACCCTACCCAGGAGCGTCCCAGCAGATTTGCTCTTGGGGAAGCCATTTCCGTTCCTGACCCAAGGAACCGTGCGTGAGCTGAACGTCTGGATTCCCTTTCAGCACCCGGCAGGGCTGTGGTCAAAGCCGAGGGGGGGCAGGATGAGGAGAAGCCTGAAGGCCTGGTGCTGATGAGGCGGTTCCTGGGAAGAGCAGAGGAAGAGGCTTTCCTGAGGCCAAACCAGCTTGTGAGGCTGGGGAGGCCAGGCGTCTCTGAGGGGCTGGGCGCGCTGACCGAATGCGGGAGCAGTTTCTGTGATTCCCAGGCAGCGGCTGTGCAGGGGGAAGCCCCCACCCAGCAGGGCTGGTGGAAAACTGAGCAGCAACTTCTGCCCCAGAGAATCCCGACGGGAGACCCCTCCGGCCGCACTGAACACGAGGGAAGCGCCTACCTGCAGTCCCGCCTCCAGAAGCACCAGCTGTCCTGTGCGGGCCAGGGGGCGTACGCCTGCGCCCAGTGCCAGAGCAGCTTTCGGCAGCCGCGGAA